TGCTGGTGGTGGTGCTGGTGGTCGTCTTGGTCGTCGGGGTCGTCGTCCATCATGTTACTAGTATCAAGCCACTCCTGACATGCAAGCCTTCGTGGCACAGAGCTTTGATTGGAGTGCAAGAGCCCTGGGCACGCAGCGTGTGTTGTGTTGGCCAGTACTTGATGTGCGCTTTATGAGCACTATGTGCGGGAATGGACCCTTAACATGAGACCGGCCCAAGCAAGCGAAATTTGTACTGCAGAGTCACGTCTCCTGGAAATTCTGGCATATAGCAAAGAGCTCAAGATCCTTCCTTGTAGCTTTGGTGCCAGGTATTTAGCCAACAGCAGTGCGGGCGCCTACCGCTCTCAGCTTGGGCCGCGCATCGCGGAAGGCTTTGCGCAGACCAGAGTGCCAGTAGATCTGACCAAGGACGGGGTGATGGGCGGGTTGGGTTGAGCAATGAGGCACAAGAAATATGATGAAATATGATAATATTAGTTCAAATACATTGTTGACCTCATCTGTCCAGTGCTACTGTGGTTAAGGGTGAGATGAGACTTCGCAGGGAGGTCTGAATTGGTAGAAGCACGGAAGCCCAAAAGAGTCGCAGCAACAGTTTTTGGGGTGGTGAGTCCTCTGCATCTGGAAAGAGGCTAGCAAGTCGAGGCTGCAAGCCATGCGGGGTCCAGCGCGAGGTTAGCGAGTGCAGTGTCCCTCTCATTAGGAACTAGAACAGTGGGCTGGGCATGTGTCGCACCGCCTGGCAGAGCCTGACGAAATCATGCTCGCAGATCCCCATTTAGAATCTTTCAGAATTGTGTCTCGTGATTGTAGAATCGACTGATCCTATACACAGATCCCTTTCCTGGCCAAGCTTTTGCACTCACGCCAGGAATTCTTCAGCGTCATTGTGGTTTTCACTCGATCTGTGCTGGTCGAGCAGACGACTCCCGTTGGTGTGGATATAAGCGACACGTCCTCCGATGTTCAGAATGCAGCGCGGCTCAACGTTGGAAGACAGACACAAGCTTCACCAGCTTCAAACCATGCTTTCTGTTGAGGCCTGTGGGCAATTCGTGGCCCATATGCGAGACCTGTAATAAGCACTTACTTAAACCTGGTTTGACAGAGTGGTAGTAGTTCTTGTGTAATTAGTGAGTACAGCTGAAGTGCGCATGAAAGTGGCGCACCTGAAGCTTAATTCTGTCAAGCAGCTTAGATCCAATAGCTCGAACATAAAGTGGGCTGGCGGGCTGCTGGTAAGGATTGTGACAAGCCCAGGTGAATTTTACAGATCGAGACTTGGACCTGGAGGACCTCGGAGGGCACGTCTACTGGGAGACACCCGAGGAGTCGTCTCAGGTGCCAGGGGCAGCATCCTCTGACTGATTCTGACTGCTTCAAGTTTTCAGGTATGACGTTCACATTGATACAGATCATATATCTGCATGGAGCGCGGTTCTGGTGCTTTCAGGGCAAGTGCGATGGCAGGATGCACTGTCCAGCAACTAAGCCCCTGCCAAGAACCGAATAGCTTCCTCGTTCTGCTGCCGTCGCTTCCCGCCAACAGGAAACTGAATCCCCGCCTCCCCGTCCGGAAGATCATAGTTGAAAGTCAGGGTCCCGTTGATCTTCGCAGGGCACGGTAGACACTGGGATTTCCAGGGCTAATCGTAGGAAGATGCGTGTCTTAAACCTTGAAGAAAAGGGACGTGGGCCGTTAAGCTTTCAGTTTAAGATATCCTCAAGTCTTGCAAAGATGGTATCACCCACGAGCCCAATGCTGGAACCTAGAACCCTCTTCAGGTGATCGCCTACCGCGTTTACCTGGCGCAGCCTGACGTGAACCTGGCGCTGATGGTGCTTTGAATAGGCTTCAGAACATCTCAGAACCCTGAGACGCGGGGCAATGTACTTGCCCTCAAAGCACAAACGTTGGGATTTTGGATTTCATCTGAACCGAACTGATTCCGGAGCAGTTGTTGAAGAAAGAGGTTTTGACTGGTACTTTTCGAGGGTCCGAGACGAGTCAATCTGTTGTTGAGGTTCGATGCTGCTGGAGCCTCGCGATCACAGATTGGCTCAGATGTTTGGGTGAATTCGCACGGGGCCCAGCAGGATGAACACAAAGCTTGATAAAGCGTTCTGCACCGCAACCGTGCACAAGCATTTCTGCTTCCGGCCAAGTACTTCTCCAAACGGAACCAGGTTGTGCGCAGTGGCTTCTAAGCATGAGCTCTTTTTGCCCGCCAGGTCGCGCGTGGCCTTGCTCCAGCCAGATCACACGACTGGCTCCTTTCGGTAGCTTTCTTGGCATCAGAATGTTTTAATTGCTGGCAAAGGGGCGCAGATTCATAGTTCGTGGAGATGAGGGGTTGCAACACAGCTCACTGTCCAGACGTTTTAGGTGTAAAGACCTTACATGCTAAACTCCAAAACTCGTTAATTTTAAGCCGCCGCAAGGTACGTCACGGTGTACAGCAGGTCGGACTTGGCCGAGCAAACCACTCCTGTGGCAACCCAGCTGGATGTGAAGATTTCTGTGACAAAGAGTGGGCTCGGCTTCCTCAGCTATGGCTCAGGAGGACTGCTTGTAGCAGTCGCAGGTAGAAACGCCTTGAAACGGTGTCCGATCTGTCTGAATTCTATCTTGCTTGGCAGAAGCCAGAAGCATTTTCTAGAAACGAGAGCAAAGAACCTCCAGCTCCTCCACATGCGGTCATCGACGTTTGCGTTTGCGCTTTTGAGGTCGGTGTGCTTTTTCGCGAACATTTTTTTAGGCTACTACATTTATCATTGCGCTTGCGGGCGAAATTGCGAGTACGTTTTCATATAGATGCAGACACATTCTGGATACTACTGGGATTTCCAACATGGTTTTATAGTGGGTCCATGTGGGTCTCACCGGTGTCTGGCAGATTTTTGCCCTGCTGAGGCATTCGAGCTGGAAGACACAGAGTCGGTGGTAATGGATGCAAACTTCACAGACCTTGAGCCATGGCCGGAGGAAAATTCTTGAGCACTAGGCCTGTGGGCTAGATTGCAGCCATAGTACGATTCAGACACGGTGCGAAGTGGCACCTTGACTGCTGAAGAAGAGTAGGCCTTCTTTGGAAGTGATGAAGGAGAGTTTTGCCACAGGGGACTCCCAGCACCAAGATTGTTCCTCCGCTTTTCAAGGCTTGTGGATGTACACAGTCTGAAGGCCAAGGTTCTTGGGAGGCAATGCGGGTCATGTAATGTATATTTGGAGTCGTAATGTCACCGAAGCGTAGTCATACCTTAACAACAGATCCTCAATACATCTCAGTACCTTTCGGAAAAAAAAAAACGCTGCGGCCAGTCTAACAGTCGAAGAGGAACCTGCAAAACCACCTGCAAGAGGCTTGCATGTTTTCGAAGGGTTTGGATGGTCCGGACATCAGGTTTTCAACTGCCAGACTTTAGAGCTTGAAGCTTTGCATTTGGTTGCGCTGGCCAACCTGTAGTGAATGCCCTCGGGCAGGGCTTCAACAAGGCATCCTGAAGTAGTTGCGGATCGGTGTGCGCATGGCGCATCAGGACCTCATGTTTTCACGCCAGCGTTCGAGGATACGATCCAAGGATCAGTGGATTCAGCTATCCGCTGTCCGATCAAAGGCAACTGCACGACCCACTCACGTATCAACTCCCGTTCGAACAACATGGGCATCCCGCATCATCCCGCACTTCAACTGTTTTATCTGTTTTGGAGTTTCTGAGCGAACAAGGATTTGGACGGAACCGAGCTTGGTGGTACGATTTTTTGGTCGCCCGCCGGCAATACTGAGCTGGTGGTTGCCTACGACGTGCAACTTGGCACAAGGATGAAGGTCAGCAGAGACGCACGGTAGGCCAGACGTAGTTCAGAGTACAAGTACCGATTTTTTCCATTCTGCACGCAGCAACTTAGCACAGCTCTAACGAGGACCTGTACTCTGCTGATGCAGAGTGTAAAGGTTGAGAGTTGCGGGTCTGGTTGTGATGCAACATGCAACGATTACCCTGCAGGCCACCATCACAGCTGTGACCGTGCTCATCATGGCTGCAACTTGTGTCGCCAAGGTACTTGAGTGAGAGCGCAAGTGGCAGCATGCTTTCGCGGATCAAGGATGCTGGAGCTGCAACAGAACTTACTCTTTTCTATCCGTAGGATCGCACCGAACATTGTGCCAGGCTACGCAAGACTGCGCAACTTTCCCTGAAGGCAATTTTTTCAATTAAGGGCATATGGTTGTGGGTCTGTGTGTTCCTGCATTTGTGTTTTTTCCTAGCATTCTTATGGGCAAACTTTGAGTTTGGGCTTTGATTGCCGGCTCTCTGGCTTTCTTGGCCTCTTGGCGCCATGAATTCTGCCTGACATGCCTCGTTTAAAGCTACATGAGCAATAGTCTAAACTCCTTAAAGGGGTGTTATATAGGGGATTATGTTATATAGGGGACTACTATAGGGGTTATTAAGGGGGATACTAGGAGTTTAGACAAGGGTTCACATGAAGTTGAGGTGCAAGAAAATATTCTGCCGCTGTCTACTACCACTGCGATTACTGCTGCCTCTATAGCAGCTGCTACTCCTCCTCCTCCTCCTACTACTACTACTACTACTACTTGCGAACCTTATCCTCTTCCGCTGCTTCTTGTTCTTTTTCTATTTCTGTTCCTACTACTTTGTATATACGTTGCTTCCACTGCTTCTATTCTGCTACTATGCCTCCTGCCCTCCTCCTGCTGATGCTACTAATACTACTACGACTGCTACAATGACTATTAATACTGTTGCATGTACAGCCTGTGCGAGCACTGCAACAACTGCGGCTGCGCCTGCTACGACTACGAGTGACTACGATTGCTGGTCCAAGGAAACGTGCTCACATTCAGCCTTGTATAGCCTTGTTCTATCTTGTTCTTTTCTGGCATTCGTGTCTGCCGCATATCCAGGAATGACCACCCTGTTGCTGCTTCAGGGGCTGGGCTTTTAGAGCAAAGCATTGTGTGCAGCTAATTTAGGCCCTAATTTAGGCTTACAGAAGACCAACCCCTCACATAGTAGTTTATTATCATCTTGGACTGCACTCTTGCACCTGCACAAGTCTCATTAAACAAATCTGGAATTGCGGGAGGTCGCTAAGCAGAACAACAAGAGCAGCAACGCACGACGAGTTCACTGGCAAAAAGAGTCATGCCAGCGAACATGCAACGATAGTCAAAAACACGAGAAACAGTATCCATACTCTTGGTAACATCCTATCAATGGTCGTAGCTGTATTGCTTGTGTCACTGGCGGTGCCACATAGGGCATATCCTGCTACATCCAATTGTGACGAAACCATTGTTTGTGGCAAGGCTACAAAAGCTGCAGATGTGAAAAAGAAATTGTGTAGGCTTAGTGGGACCACCTGAAAGCACCATTCGAGAATGCTAAATGGAAACCACTTTCCGTACATTGCTTTTGTTTTTCAGGGGCCTTGTTCCTCAGGCCCACGGGGCATCTGATGAAACACATAGGTAATATTTCAAGTCTCAAGCCCCTCTCGTGTTAACCCTTTCGACAACGCGTGATGGATAAGCGGAAGCCCACAACGCGCATTGCCCCCCCACCCCCAACCCTTTCCCCCACTAAAGCAGGCCAGAGACTTGCTTGTGCTGATATCAGCACATATCACATTTGTTCTCACGCACCGATTGTAAGCATTTTTCGAACAATCCTCTAATAGCTCAGCACATATCCTCATGAGCTATTTGGGTTCGCTACCCTTTCTACGATCACTGATGAAGACGGTCAGGATTATAATAGCATGGCTTCCATTGTTGTTGCATGCTTCCTAGTATCCCAGGATCATGGCAATGTTCTGCAAATTTCTCTTCATTGCGGTTGTTGCTACTGGCACAAGCATTACTCTTACTACTGCTATTGGTTCTTTAGTTTTGCTATGTTTTGCTCTTGTAGTATTCCCACCATGATCACCACTGCTATTGCTCCTGTTGTTGCTACATGCATAGTTGTCGCTTCTTGCTAGCGCTCTACAGATTTCTCTTCACAATCCGCCTCACCTCGCCCCGCCGAAGCCCAGCCAAGCTCGCTGATCCCCAAATTTTCTGTACTGCAGGTCCTATTTTGTCAGTATATTTGTTTTGTTTTTGCCGTTGTTTTTGAGCTGTTGGTTTATAAGAGTCGTTGCTGATGCAGATTTTGGCAATTGGTGCAAGTCTTTCGATGTGCGGTAGTTCATAGTCTGTTTGCCTGATGTTCTGATTGCATCTTGTTGCTATTAGCTGTGATATGTTTGCTTCGTGTACGTATCCTGAGCTACAATCATGACTTGGCCTATAATGTTTTCAATTTGCCGTATCAGTCTTAGGTTTCTTTTCGCCGTCATAGACTTTGAACGTGGACAGCCGAGGCTTCGCCAAAATCAACCCAAAGGCATTGATAGTCACAAGAATCAAGGAAACCACCAACATGATTTTTTCACTCCAGAGCAATATGTGTGGCCACATGTGCGACCTCCCGTTTGAAATGGAGAGCAGGATGCAAGACGCATCGACAAAGTTTTAACAGGGCGCTTCTTCCCAAGGACGCCTTGCCGGTCGGAACCCATGAGCTTTTTGTGCCGCCGGAGCATCCGTTGGGCCGGAGCACTCACATCGTGCCTTGGTCAAGTCTCATGCAGCTGACTCCAACCTTCTTTGCTTGTGGTTCCAACAGCAGCCCGAGTCTTGACATGTACCCACGTTGGTTACGTGATGTATGTCAAGTGCGCGGTCTCTTTGCTGGTTTTGCATTTGACGGTTTGCGTGACCTAGGTGATCTACACAAGATCTTCCCTAGTGGAGCAGACGACGCCGGCCTTCATCAACATCAGCCACCCAGCTCCACTTCTCATTCAAGGCCCTAACGCGTGCCGGGCCTTAGTCAGACCGATGAACCCCAAGATAGCAATGCTCAGCTGTGTGAATGTTTTCTGCAGCTGCCATGAGCAGATCGTCATCAGACTTTTGCCTTTTTGGCCTCCTGTGATGGTTCCTCTGCTCAGGTAAGCTTCCAGGACATTGGTGCTGTCACACGCCCACCTCCTCCCAAACTGGAAGCCTAGACAACTGTCAAGCCACATAAATGCCCCAAGCACTGCCAAACAAGTTCAATCTCTCAGCAGCTATAGGTGATGCAGACTGGAACGTTCCCGAAGTGCGCCGGTCTTAGCACGTGTATATGAGGCTTCGTCATGGGTTTGTTACCCCGGCATGACTTGTACTTTCAATGCGAAGCTGGCCATTTGATGGAAGCTTTCCCAAACAGCGCTCACTTCATATTACGAACCCCTCATCCCCCCGCGCGCGAATGTGCGCCGGAGCCTTTTTTTTGCGGGGTGTCCAGGTCCTTTGATCCGCTGGAGCTGTACTCTACGAGCAAGGGATAGTACAAAGATTGTATACAAGATCGGGCAGGATTGCGCTTCTGAATTGTTGCTTTTGGCGGATTGGATTCTGCAATTACGGG